CGGAAGATTCCCAAAAGTAGGAAACGTTGAGAAAATGGAAGATTGCAAGATTTCGATCAGGGCCGCTTTACTACCCTGCAGCATCTGTCTTGATCGTCCTGGAGATTGCGTATTGCTTCCGTGCAATCACGGAGGTTTCTGCCAGGTAGATGCTGTGGTCGCGCATTTGAAATCGATCCTATGATCGATTATGTTTTCAGGTTTGCAGTATTTATGTTGGATGTAATCTTGCTGTTGGAGGTCGCCATTGCCCTAAATGCCGTGAATACATCGATCAAATCATTCGCATTGGAAAGATCCACGAGATGGTGAGGATATCGCGCGCGCCCTGGTGATCGATTTGGACAACTCGTGGTACGATAGACTTGTTCTTAGGAGCTGAAAGGGAATCCTGTCGCCCTACCGATGCCGTTGGCGGATGAGAAGCCTCCGGAGGTAGGACGAGTCAATGAATGAGTATCTTCACGCACGGTGAAGATTTCGCTCGTAGGCAGCAGCTCCGGTGGGTATCGAACGATCAAAGGGAAATAGGAGGCAGGAAGCCCCCAAGAGAGGGACGACTACTACTACGGTCGGTAGCAGTAGCTGCAACAATACTCCCAACCCGTCGGTTGCTGGTGATGATGATGATATCGATGGAGATACGAACAAAGTGACCTCCCATCTTGAATTGGGAATACTGCTTTCCTCAGAGCCCTCGTAACGAGTCAGCTCCGGGTACCCTCCCGGCAGTTTTCGCGGTCGAACTGACGTCACCGCGATTCCGCGATTGTGAAGAACGAGCGGAACCGAAATCGACCCTGCAGTGATTCAGATTTTCTAATTCGAAAGAATCTAACAGGACTAACCAAAAGAGCTATCTTTTATATTTACTCTCATATTTCTCATTGATCAGTAGTTCTTATTTTTTCACTGTAGTCTGAGTGGCTGAGGTTAGCGAAAATCTCAGAAGCTTCGTACTGTCGAGTTCGATCTTCCCGTGAGGACTTGTAGCCAGTGTCGTTCAAAATGGGTGGTAAGAGAAAACGGCAAGATACGTCTTCTCCCATCGCGCTCCCGGCAGCTCCTACTACGAGGAAGGTGTCGGTGAAGACGGTGCCTCGTGATGGGGAGATGTTTTATTTGTTCAAGTCGGAGCCGGAGAGTCGTATTGAGAAAGGCGTGGACATGAAGTTCAGCATTGATGATTTGGCCGCTAGTCCGAACGGCACGGCTGAGTGGGATGGGGTGAGGAACTATCAGGCGAGGAATCTGATGAGAGAAATGAAAATTGGCGACAAGGGCTTCTTCTACCACTCCAATTGCAAACCCCCTGGTATAGTAGGTAGGGGTGGTGTGCTGCTTTATGATTGGTGACTCAGTGGTGATAGGTATTGTGGAGGTGGTCCGAGAGTCCTATCCGGATGATACCCAGTTCGATCCCAAGAACCCGCATTTTGATCCTAGAAGTGGCAAGGAGGAACCCAAGTGGGATATGGTTGATATCAAGTAAGTGTATCGTCCACCCGGTAACAGCCAAGGGCAGCATCCATTCGACAGGAATTCCCTGTAGCGAGCCGTTGTCGAATCAGGATCCACTAATGCAGTAAAAGGATTTATATTCGCTTTCTTCAGCTGAGATTAAAAGTTTTCTTACTAACTGAGGGAGTTTATATACGACTTCGGGTAGAGGTGTACGAGAATCTCCGCAAAATTTTCATGTGGTCACCGACACGTGGAGTTGACCATGTGCATATTTCCTCCCCACACCGCACTAATGGTTGGTATTCTGAATGCAGTAATTGAGATTTGATATGTATTCACATCGTTATCTTAGATTCATTCGTAAACTTAGTAGGAAGATCTCACTTGATGAACTGAAGGCCTACCGTGACAAAGAGGTAAGTGAAGACTTGTGAGCAGTTCTGGAGAACTTAGCCGTGTGCTTTCCTCAGCTTTCTTCGATGGGTCTGTTTACCACGGCAAGGTTGTCAGTTCAGCGTGTTACTCCCGCGGAGTGGGATTTCATTCTTTCCCTAGAAGGGGCATCGGAAGACGTTGATGAGGCAACCGGCAATAAGGCATGAATTCGATCCTCCATTTTCATAAGTGCATGTGTTTTGTTCTGTGATGAAGTCGGAGATTATTCAATTTCATGACACCATTTTAGGGTCGAAAATTTATCAGACTGCCTGGGTCAGGACTTTTCTCCGGGAAAGAACTCTGTAATGGAGAATATCCAGTATTCAGGGAATCAACGAACCTATCACTTCGTTATCAACACAGCCAACATGCAGCAGCAGCAGCTTAGGTTCAAACGAACGTAGATCAAGAACAGTTCTCAACGCCACTTTGCTCACTAACCGATACAGAATGAGACTGGCAAAGCCGTACCCTAAGAGCGACTAACGAATCTGACTCTATCAGGATCTGACTATACTCTATAGTGAGCTCACCAAGCGACTAGCTCGGGAAATGCACCCCGGTTCCTCCAGGGGGAACCCCGGGGGAACGCGGGTGAGATACTTTCCAAGTTCGGAATCCTGCAGATTTGGAAGACGTTCACAGCTTGAAGTTTCGACTGGCGTGTGTTTTATCATCAGCACCCGACATCTTGAATGACTTCTTAATTGGTCACATCCGTATATCATGTGATCTATCTCTGGGAGAAGCAGAATAGTCTCGAAGACATGTTTCGGGGAAACTCAGAGAGGCTCATCTATCTCAGACTGTGGTTGGCGTGGTCGAGATGACTATCCCTGATGACTCCATAGCTCCCTACGTCGAGGATGCAGTCATAGCCAAGATGTAAGCAGCGTCCATCGTTTGCAGCAAGGATGCAATCCACTGAGTGCCTTCCATTGACGATTAGTTCGCATCCAGAACCTCGACTTTTCAGGCCTGAGGCAAGCCGGAAGATTCCCAACGGGATCATTGGCTACATTGATCGTGTATGGTAGAGGGTATCATCGATTGCTTATCAATCCCTGTCGAGTATTCAGGTTGAGGTAGCCAAAAAATACTGGAGGCAAGGTATTGCGAAGAAGCTCCTGCCGGAGTCCCTTGAGCATGTGAGTGGACCGCCGATCCTGTGTAAGATGAGTCCTGCGTATCGCCTAGGTTGAGGCAAGCACACCGAAGCTGGTAGCTATGTATTTGATGGTCGAACGCACGAACCAGAATGCCATCGACCTGTATGAGAAAACGGGATTTGAAAAGATATTGGGTGAGTTTTATCGTCTAGATTCCCGGGGACTTGACATGAAATAATCGTCCCATATTGAACCGCGCGTATCTCACTGTTCATCATCGAAAATGATCCAAATCTTCTGTTGTCAGATATCCTCGGTAAACGCAATATCTTCTTTGCGCGATATCGGCGGTGACCTGCCAACATGGCTGACCGCACATCGGACCCTTGTAGGGAAATCCTTCATCGTTATCAACACTTTTTGTTAAATTTATGTGTTTTACTTCGGTCAGTTTTGAGAGATTTATGACTCAGGCAGTCAGTCCTTTTTTGTGACAATATTGCCATTTTTTAGACATTTTTGTTTGGTTGTGCTCAGTCGAGATAATGTAGCTCAACTATAGCACGACGATGAAATCAGTTATACCGGTGATAACCCCAGACCTGCGTGGTTGTCTCCCAAACGTGCCGCATGAGGGTCCCCAATGGAAGACGTTGGATGGGCATCGCCCCATTCACTCAGCAGGTTTGATCATCCGTGGGAGTAAGAAAACTGCTTTTGCCCCCACAGGAGATGGGCAAGCATGCTCAAGTGCAAAATGAATGTTACGAGAAAAGTATAAGCAAAATCGATACTACTAATACTGGGGGTACGCACGCTGGAGAAGGTTGAAAGTCAAAATTGGAGCTCAGCATCCAATCCAACCCGGAAGATATCAACCCGTTAAATCGTTACATCGTACAATGATAGTTGCCTCCGTTACTGCACTCCACTCTGCGTAGGGCGACACTTCCTTTACCTCGTATTATCACTGAGCTGGACGTGTGCAGGGAGTGTACGGCCTTGACTCACGGCAGGGTATCATTTGTGTTTGGATTGATATGTCTTAGACTGTGAGAGGATAGCATGGAGATCATCTTGTAACAAGATGATCTCTATGCTATGCTAACAAGATTCTTGTTTCTTAATGGTCGCGCGTTGACAGTGAGCGGGGTACTCTTATTCCTAGCTCAATTGAGTGCTTTCCGCCGCATCAATATCTCTTCATTGGATTACCCGAATTCTCGCACTTATTTATCAGTTCACGATGAACTGATATATAACATTGGATCCAGTTATTTCGGTAAATACTGTTTCGCTAAGTTTGAAGCCAGTCCAGGAGGATGGCACATGGCCAACTACAGTACGTGTGTTAGTGGTGATGATGATGCAGAAATTCTGTGGAGTGTTTGCGAGAGCCTTACTGGTTTCTGTACACGCCTACCTGATATCGTGTGTATTCTTTTCTAATTAGTGATGAAACGCCAGAGTTCAGCTGAGGGAAGCGACCATGTATTCCAACACTGCTCGATGGATGCGAATTGTGGGTATAACTTTTGGAAGTTCCCATCCAACTTGATGTAAATACAACACTTGCATGCATATCAGAAACTATCTCTCGCATGGTCCTCACCCACCTCCCTTGGCCTTCTCCTTCGCTATTATCATAGCGTGCCACTTCCGACTAGCCGCCCTTACCTTCATGGATCGCTCACTGTAACCATCCCAAGGCGTTCGACGTCTTATCTTCTTCCTATCGTAGACCACTACTGTGTCCTTAACTACTGTATACCTCTTACCACGTTGCCAAGGCCTTGCCCATCTGAGTTTGGTAGTTCTGATAAGAACAGATTCCCAAAAAACCAGACATTAACTCCTCACTCACTTCTAACCACTTCCAACCGTTTCCCGTCTCACACTCAGCATCGACGAAATACGTGTACCTAACAGCAGCAGGAGCAAAGACATATATCATAGAGAGATGCACGCCGAATTACCGTGGTTTGATCACCTCTTTACCCGGCTTATGCCAGTAGCATCGCAAATGCATCAGAAGACACCTTTGTCGACTTGGAGAGCGACAGAAAGACATGTAGAAAGGGCCACCGAGTAAGGTGATAAAGCGGCAATGCTAAGTGTATACATAATTAATATTATAACGCGTTTTCGCTCGACACTGCACTCCCCTTGATAGGAACCAAGCTCACATCGACTATGTTATGATCCCCTTGTATTGAGATTAACCAGAAGTGTGGTATTCATACTGTGAGGGTAAACTGTCATTATCATCATTCATCCCCAGTATGTTGTCTCCAATGCATCATCTCCCTTGCCTTTTCTACCACATACCTGATAGCAACAAGATCGCTCATTATCTCAGTGTTGAAGTATATCCTCAGCTGAGCTCAGGAGTTTCTTCACACATCATAGAAAGCTTACACACGAATTCACGAGGAAACTTGCAAAAACCAACGAGAATTTTTCAAATTTCCTCGGAACTCCAACATATAAAGTTTCCCCCCGAATGGCGCTACATGCCATCTTCTATTGGAGTGTAGCACGTTTGTGTCGGCTTGCCGTTTACAGTAGCCTCACATGCCCAGCAGATGCCCGCTCGACAATTGTATGGTATTCTTACCTACTCATGACGTGACCGCGCGCCACGAAATTACCCCCCTCACCCCGTGCTTATGGGCGACTTGCAATATGGTTTGATTCGCTGGTTCTTGATATTTATTATTGTTGATTTGGATGGACACCATCTTGGGAGGAGTTGATGCCAATTTGGCTTTCAACGCCAAGCGCTTCGGATGCCTTGAAAATTGAAAAAATTGACACAATTTTTATGGAGAGAGTTAGAGCCTCACTTCAGGAGAGCGATCCGTAGTCGCATCGCTGTCTCGGATGATGACATGCACGAACCAAGTAAAACAACGAGTGGAGAAAAACTACCATTAGGATTGCGGGCTCCACTCTAGTATATGCATTGCCATGTCACCATCAGATACGACACTAACACTAACAACAACAACAACAACAACAACAACAGCAACAACAACAACAACAACAACAATAGCAACAACAACAATAGCAACAACAACAACAACAATAACAATAACAACAATAACAATAACAGCAACAACAACAACAACAACAACAACAACAACAACAACAACAACTCCCAACAAAGTTTTCTCACTGCCAAGTGTATGCTATTTATTCAACTTCCCCGAACCCTGTAAAAGCATCCATTATACTAACGCAAACACTCCTCTGTGTCATCCAAGCTGCCAAGATATGGTACAACACTCCGTCCATTCCTCTCTAGTTGTATAGAGTCTTCATACCAGCTATCAGAGCAATGCTGTTGATATCGGGGAAGCTGATGCAGTCTCCAAAACTTGCCATAAAACGGCGAAGTCAACAACCTGAACTTATGAATGCGAGTGGTAGACCGAATGTAAAATTGACAAAGTGTGGTATTACAAACTCTAAATAACAACTCAGAGATGCTGTCACTATTCTCTTGAGAAGACTATTCGATACTCTAAAGCCTCGTGCGTCGAATGTGTTGATAACACGAGATATACCACCGGACGAAATTCGTTGGTTGCATTTGAGTGCTACTATACAATTAACATGACTACTCCAAGTCGTAGAAATAACTATCTACTCCACTGAATGTGTCAATAACACGTAAAGGGAAGGCAACTTACAAAATCCAATCCTGAATGCAAGGAGCACGCCGAGATGAAGCCTAACTTCTGTGGTTGTCCACAATAGTACGCCAGAAGCCGACCAAAGAGTATCTGATCAATCCTGTGATGGTGGTGAATTGTAGTTGAGGCTCACCAAGCCGCATAGAGCGATAGCTGCTAGGGCGTAGCTGTTGAGAAGTTGTCGTATTATGATGAAGTGATATGATGCATAGAAAGCTGATATCAAAAGGTGGCCGGGGAACTCAGAAATACTCGGATACTTTGAAGTGTTCGCCGATTTATCTAATGATCGAAAATGGAATTTCGGAAAAATTTACCCAGAGTAAAACGCTCACCGGTGTTGTTTTCGAGATCTAGGAAGTCTTCCGCCTCTTCATCAGGGACACTTTGAGGGAAAAAACTGAAGACACCATCAGACGTATCCTAGGTTGAAGCATGTAAGATTCAGATTAGGCCCAATACGGTACCTTTGACCAAGCTCTCTGTGGAGGAACACCCTCCAGAAGAACTCCTCGAGCAACGGGTTCACGAGAGCGAAGTAAATCCCCAACACTATCAATACTGGCATAGACATATCTAAGGTTCATCTTGGTAAGATACGGAATAGGTCCCCAACCTACCAAATCCATAAGATGCGAGTTGGCGTAGGAAATTGGGAATGCACACTGGAAGGCTTCCACCATCGTATCGAGTGCCACACCGTAAGAGTGCGTATCCAACACTACCCAGAGCTGTCACTATACAGAATGAAAGGACGGCAACGAGGAGGTTGGCTTGTCGCAATGCCTGATGGAGTTCGCTACTTCTACTCTTCATGCTGCTATACAACGACATGATACAGTGCATGCCAATTTGATATGCAAATGTGCAAAATGAGCGTCTTCCCCGAGATTAATAATAATGATATCCCTGATACTCCGCAAATACAATATAAACGTTGCTATGCCCATGTACTGTGAGGAACGTAATCGTGTGAGTCTGTAATAGGGAAGAATTGTTGTATCTATTAAAAACTCTAGTGAGCCGATGAATCAAGTTTCACACCTTTGGCATGATACTGCATATAAATCGGAAATGTGTATGTTTTGGTTTCCGATAACACAATTGTTTTCCGTGAAGTTAATCGTCGTGAAATATTTTTTCCCTACTATTTTTCATATCATTACGGTGAAGCTCTAATAATACGCTAGTAGTGAGCGGAAATGTTGCTACGCCCCCGAGGCTTCATAATAAATTGCAAGGCGAGTGGAGGAGGGCTTTCTCCGATCATGCAGATTATTCCTCTACGACCACACCACTTGACGAGCCACACATCATTCGGAGAAGCCTAGCTTATGTATCATGCGAGGAATATGAGACTACTCTCATCCCCGCCCTTTATCGTGTATTGGCCGAAACTGTTATGCGCTATGGCTGCAGTTAGCAAGCAGAAATTGGTTGAAAAAAGCGCCTGCCGGGAATCGAACTCGCGGCGGCTTTTACAAACAAGCTGACCTCAGTTAATTCGTCTCGAGAGTCTAGTTTATACATAACATTATAATGCACAGATAGTGCCCTCCATCACACTGGGAAGTATCATAAATATATTAATGCTATCCATTACTACGTACAGTACGCGCCATCTAGAAACGCGCGAACTGGGCGGGCACTTTTTTCTTTGATTTTGACGAATTTCGACCTAACTCTTTCACTATTGAGCTCCCCATACTTGATTACCCATAAATCCAAGTCGCGCAATGGAGACTCGACAAAAAAATATTTTAGTCATTTTTACCTCCCTGACCCTAGCGCATTCTCATTCGGTGCGCTCCTAGCGTCCTGGGGGACGCTTATTGAATCACTCCAGCCTTCCACACCTAGCTACGGTCACAATTCAATTTGACACCTGAATTCAATGTCATCGAATGGCCATCCTAGAGCAGCTGTTAAGTCTCGAAGAGATCGGGCCTAGCCAGAATTCCACCACCTCTGCTGGCCGAGCAGCTTCTAGTGCAGAGGACAACCTGACTATCCACCACAAACGTGCTATCGGTTGGACTAAATCGCGTAAAAGAAAGTCTCTGAGGTTGAAGACTCGAGCTCAAGCAGTGAACGGTGCCTTGTGTGTTACAATGAACGGTGCCTTGTGGATTTCGCAGAATGCAGTGAGGCCGTCAAGACTCTCTCTGAGGGGAAGCTTGGGTGTGTCTTCTTGACCGATCGGAGCCCAATACACTGCAAGTATCCGGAGGATGGTTTCAACGCCAAGGCTATGAACGTCAAGCCTGGAGGGAAGCAGCCTCGAATGCGCGCAGGTTGGTATGAACGCGATGGCCGACGCGTTGTCCAGGAAATGGTCTTTCCGGTGGACCATCCTCGATACGCTGGCTTACCCAAAGGACTCCGGCAGGTGGTACTGGAGAGGTTCGGGGAAGCGGCAGTAGTGGGCAAGAAGCAGGACGAGCTGGTCATCCTACTCTCTAATTGTGATGATTTCGCTTCCCAGAAAACTCCGCTCCAGGAAGAAGCTGAGGCCCGCGGTGACCGAGTCATATATGGTGTGAAATTTCACCCAGAGTTGGCACCAATAGAGGCAGCTTACCGCTCCATCGCTAAGCCATTAGGATAGGGAACTCCTCCAAGTCATCAGCAGGTTCGTCCGAAGAGTAGAGCGCTGCCAGGGGCCTGCCGACCTGACGTTGCTGCTTATTCGCAAGCACTTCAGTCATCAAGGGAGTATCTTAAGTCTTGCA